GAACAACTGTATGAAAACTTCAGTTCCTTCAAAACATTCTTTATTTTAGGCCCCACCAATTCACACTGCTTTTCTCCTTGAAGATATCAAAGTTTTCATAAGACTAAAGGGAACTCTGATGTATATTCAAGATAAAAGGCAGCATTTTCTTAAATAACTTTGTGCAAAAAATGCTATACAAACAAAAGGTATTAAAAACACTAAAAATTTAAGCAAGTAGCTGAGGAAGCTAGTATGACTTCAGGGAAGACTTACATACCTCTCTCTCCACCTGACTGCATTCAGCTTCACACTAGCTGGGAATGATCAATTTTGACTCTTCCCCCTCTCCATTTGAAAAGCAGACTCACTCCCATCCCACCAATCTCTCTGACTTTTACTTTCCCCTTCTATAAAACCAGGAATAACAATCAGCCCTACACACTTCACAAGGCTGATGTGACACTGAAAATTAGGAAGAGAAAATTCTTTGTGAACTCTATAGGCCCATGCATGACAAGGGATTGCCATTACTGGAACATTTCTCGAGCTTTCCCTCTCCTCTAGGCCCTTCCCCCTTCCATTTTTTCCACTTCATACTTTTGTGCAAGGGTAAAGCACAATAAGCTAAATACTGTTGAGAGGTAGACCCACTTAGTGACAGGAAACACTCTCGTCAGATATCAGAAAAACTAAGCTTTGGTCAAGGATTCTTGGAAAGCAAGAGACTCAGTTGGCCTAGAACAAGTTACAGAGATAGAAATAAGAGCTAGAGAGTCTAAGATCTCCATCTCCTTCCCACTTCTTGGGGCAAAGCCACTGGGGCTGGATCCAGATGCTTTGTGAGAAGTCTTCTGAGGAGGCAGTTATTTTGGGAGAATAGGCTCAATTCCCAATTGTGTCCCTGTCCAGAGTAAGCACTCCAAAGGCCAAGGGGAGCAGAGGCCAAGATGGCAGACAAAGGCTAGGAGGAGGACATGATTTGGCACCATCCCTATAGCTGCCAGAGTGTGCCCTCCAATCACAGTCAAGCACTCTTAATCTGGGCTTCACCACAGGGCAGAAGAGCACTTTATTCACTGGCTCACTACAATCCCTCAGCTCCCTAGCCACTTAATCACACACATACAAGTGATGAGCAAATCTCAGCCAGGGCCCAAACCCTGCTCGCCAGCACAATAAGCTAAACTGGCCTTCCCAATTTGCCTAGCCTTCCCAGTAAAAGAAACTATCCAGAGACCAACAACATAAAAACAATTGCCCTCACATTTCACACTGTAGCTGAACTAGGTTCCCTAAGCCACAAACAACATTGGGCACACTGTGCAAGTAGATGTTGCAGGTTCTGACAAATAGAGGCTGTCTCAATAGGGAAAAGCACTCTCAGTTTGTTTCTACCACTATCACTTCACCTCTTCCCTGCCTCAGCCAAAAGTCAGGGTGAAAAAACATTTTTTTTCAGGGCCTACAGACCTCCTTGCACTAAAGTTGGGCTGTGATATGGCTCAGTTAATCTTAAGGAGAAGGCAGTAACTCAATGGGGATTTTAACCCAGGAGCATTCCAATAAACAATCCCCGTGGCTGAGAGAAGGCTAAACTCAGAATGCCTTCTGTGCATGTGTTTTCTAGTCAGGCAATGAGTATCTTGCTCTTTGTCCTCTCTCCCAAAGCATCTCTCCAAGTCCTGTTGGGCTCAAGCCCCCTTTCTCCAAAGGCCTGGTGCCTGGACATTTAAAGGATGAGATCTGGAGCTCAGCAGGAGCTGAGTGATGCAGTGGTTGCTAGGATACCAGCTGAGGGTATTTTCTTGAATCCCCCATAGGGAGCTGGAAGCCAAAATTCCTGAGCTGGAATTTTGCTCCTCTTAGTAGCAAAAGGTATCCTCTGCCCAAAGGGGTTAGAGAAGGGGAAAAGAAAAGAGGAACTGTAGTGGGAAATTTTAGGACAAATCAGAGAGAAAAAGCCCTCTTTTCTTTCTTATCTACCCACTGACAGATGTATCAGGCAAGGGAACAAAGGGAGAATGGGGAAGATGAAGAAAAGAGGCAGGAAAGAGAAGAAACAAGAGTCAAAATGCAGAAGATTCCATTCCTTTGGCTGCATTTTTCATTTTCTCCCACTCTTCTCTTTTTGCATACCCTCATAAGTCTGAAGGAGAAATGCCAAACCTTTAGGATTCACAGAAGTAAAAAGTCACACTGCCAACTTTGGTTTTCTACTCCTCAAACACCCTTTTAGCTGCTCTAGGGTGGCCTGCCATCTGGCTAGCAACATTCCCTTAACTGCCTAGAGATAAATTAATCTGAAAAATGCTTGCCGATTATGCCAGTTAAATTACTGATGGAAGGGCTCATTCAAGCTACCCCTTTAGTCTGAGGGGTTGTGGGGGTTGGTGGGAAGACTGGCAGGGGGAACACCCATCCATCCTATACAAGGAGGCCATTCAGAACTGTGGAACTCAATGCATTCCCTTTTGTTATTCCTCATTCCTTGCACAAGCAACCACCATCCACATTCATGAGTGTACACACCCCCACACACAGACAGAAGGGTGTGCACACATACACATGAACATACTATCACACAACCTACACACATACATTCCCATAGGATTTCTACCAAGGGCCTGTCAGGCACCCAGTCCTGAAGGCTGTGGCATTTCATGACACTACTTTGTCATAAACCTGGCTCAAAGACCAGCTTTAGAGAGAACCCTTCTCCCCTCAGGGGAAAAGCAAAAGCAAAAAAAACAAAAAACCCCACATTCCATTCTTGTAGTGGCTTTCTCACATAGTTAGGTGAAAAAAATCTCTTAGGTGAAACTTAAATTTCTCTAGATACCAGCAAAAAGATATTTCTTCCCTCCACCTTCCATCATCCTTTGATTAAAATTTTGTTTTCCTTTTCACTTGTCATTACAGTTCACCCCCTCTGATTTCAAGTGTCTATGGGCACCAAAAATCACAGAATGCAAGAACTTAGAGGTCACTTAGTGTAACCATCTCCAAATGCCAATGTTACAGGGATCCCCAAACCCACTGAGAAGGAAAAAAATGCCCAAGGTCAAACAGCCACTGAACAGAGAAAACCCAGGTCTTTAATGCCCAGCCTAGAGCCTTTCCTCACTCTTCAAAACTCTCTTAGAACAAAGTGCCCAGTCAAAATATAAATTTACTTTATATAATACCACTGGAGCTAGGGGGGAGGGCGATCTCACTAAATTCTCATTGCAAAGAAACAAGTTCTTAGTTCAACTCAGGGGGCCCCCCCACAAAGGAGTACATAAGTACCAGTGCCAGCAAAATGTCCAGATCATGCTCATACCATGGTACCAATCAAATTAAAAAATCAGCTTCTCGCCCACACCACGCCAAAGAGAGCAGACCTCAAAACTCAAAACCTCTTCTGATGCCATTAAATAAAACTCTCTGGGTTCTGAGGTCAGGATAACTTCAAGAGCCCCCTTCATAGCCCATATCTTTTCATAATCAGTTCCCAAGAGATTAAACAACAGAACATGGAACTTGAGAGCACAATTCCAGCAGATTTGCACATCACACATGAGCAGCCGCCCACATGGGTGTAGGAGGAACATGTGTGTGGATGTGTATGCGCCCTGATTCATTGCTACATGAGCCAGAAATGGCACTATTTCTAGTCAGGTAAGCAAGGGAATGAGGAAGACTTGCCTACATCAGCAGGTAGGAGAAGGGAGGAAAACAAGTATGCACATTGGTGTCAGAGACATCTTTTTCTTGGCTTTGCCAAGAGCTTTCTCAGCAAAAGCAGAAATATAAAAATAATAGCAATAATAACAGCAACCACCACCACCATCACCAGTGATACAAACACGCAAATATATAGCAAATTAGAATGTTGTTTCTAGCTCATGGTTTCCCCACTCCTACCCCATTCCATCCAGACTTGGGGGGGGGGGGGCCAGGGGGTTTTTAAGCAAATTAGAATGTTGTTTCTACCTCATGGTTTCCCCCCTCCTTCCCCATTTCATCCAGACTTGGGGGGGGGGGTGTCAGTGGTGCTCAAAACTCTACTTAGTAAGATACATACTTTCATTGTTATGGAAATCTTTTAATTAGAGATACTTCTGGTCTTAAAGAACAAACAAGTAGGCAAACAAAAACCACCACTATCTCATTAGCACTAGAGCAAGTTCTATTTAAAATGTAGTTCAAGCACATCATTGCAAATGAGATTACCCCAAAGAGGCATATCCAAATACTATTATTCCCAAGGTGGGTAAAGAGCTGGCTTTTCTTGTTTTTTGGAGGACACACAGAGAATACCCCCAAATTCAAATCCAGGGGTAGTCTTTGGGAAAAGAAACCCAATAAAAGCTCATCAGTGTCTTCTCTTACCAATTCATAACGGCCAGGTAATGCTTTTACATCCCATTCCATAATTCCAAAAAATGATATTTAATGTTTTAAGAAATGTTTTAAAGGTGGCGTCTTTCCAAATTGAAAGCTGTGAACCCTGGACAGCAAATTGAGATTCAAAGGACAGAGTCACCAACTGCCAGCTCAATGCACCCCACCACATCACTTCTCAAATTCTCCCTTCTATTAGAAACTAAAGAATCATTTCCCTAAATTCATTCATTCCATCATTTTTTTCTTCTAAACATCCAGTGCAAGACTGTCTTTCCTAAGATGTCAAAAATCCATCATGCTCTTCCCACAAGCCCCCTTAACCCCAAACAAATCCAAATACAGTCCTGATAGCAAGAGAGAAATTTTGACTAAAATTCCCTCATGGAATTTAAAGATAGTTTTCAAGAAAATGAGTTGACAAGACACCACAAACAGCCAAAGCCACTGTTTAAGGATGCAGAGCTTGTTCCGTGAACGTCACATAAATGGAGAATGCACACACACACACATGCACACTTAAATAGAAAGCATTTCTTTATCAACAATTTTACTCAAGCAATAAGCAACTACACTCATAGGCATACTTAAAAGACAAGACACGACAAAAGATTTAGGGAGAGATAATATACCAACGTCATACATATCACAGCGAGGCCATGTTGCAGCTCAAAACGTTTTCCCCCCTGAGTAAGAAAGCTTGCTCTTTCTCTCCCTCTCTTTCCCTGTTTCTGACTGTCTCTCTTGATTTTTTTCTCGGTGGTTCTCTGGATGAAATCAAATCGAGAGTTAGCAACAGCTCAGATGGCTGGACTCCATTCAGCGCGTTCCCAGGAAAAACATGAGTATGACATTGACAAGCAGGAGGACTACAATTACAGCAAAAACGACTACAGTTTGCACATCCAGGGTCATGGTGCAATGCAGAACACTGTAGTGTTCCAGGTGGGGGGCCGGCAGATTGGGAGATGTCAGTCTCTGTTCTGTCAGACTGTCCATACAGCCACCATTCTAGAAAGGAGAGGAGGAAGTCGGATGGTTAGGGAAGGGTTGGGTTTGGTGCCCGAGTTTGGTATGGGGGGAGGGGGAGGGGGAAGAGGGGAGCTTGTTTCACCCCTTCTCAGGATTGAGCTGATTTTTTCTTCCCTAGCTGAGAAATCTTAGCTTGCGCTGAAGTCGGCAGAGTCCAGCATTCTCTCTCGGGCGCCACGGAAAAGGCAAAATCCTGGCTTTCAAAGGGAAAGGCGGGAGGAACCAGTGCGAGGTTCTCCAGCGCCTGCTCAGTCTGTCTGTCCCGGCGTGTGTCCGTCTGCCTGCCTGGCTACCGGTCAGTCTCGGTCTCCCCTACTCCCTCTAGTTCGCTTGCTTTCCTCCGCTTGCTAGCTCTCTTCGTGGGGCTCCTGGTTGCCAGCCACACCTTACAACCCTGCCTGCTGGCTCTCTCCCTCTCCTTTCCCAGCCCCCAGCTTGTAGGCTGAGTTTTTATTCACCAAGCGCCTGCAGGCGCCTGCGTGAGGCGCAGCACCAGCCGTTGACAGGCCCGCTGGCCAATAGCAGGTGCTATAGCAGCACGGTTACTCTCTGGGGGGCGGAACTTAGGCTGGCGTGCTAGTGGAGAAAACCAATTGGAGGGCTCAAGGCACCCCAAGCAATCTTGCTTCATTTTCAGGAGCCACCAGCCTCGGTTCCGGTGTGGGGGTGGAGAGCTTGTTCTAAGAGGATTGAGGGGGATGTAGGGAGAGAGAGTGGAGGGACAGAAAAGGACTTGGAAAGAGGAAGGGAGTAGATGGGATAGGATGTGGCAAGAGGGAGGGAGGAGGAAATAAGGGGAAGACCCTGGGGAACAAGGGAAAAAGAGAAGGAAAGATGGGAAGGAGGAAGAAGAGATAGGGGGTAACATAGAGAGAAGGGTTGTACTAAGGAAGGAAAAGGGATGGGGAAAAAGGAAAATAAAATGTTTAAATAGGATAGGTAGATGAGGAGGAGCCATGCCTTGGCAGCCACTTTGTTTGGAGCCTGGACAAGAAAGAAGCAAAGCTGCCTTTGACCCCTGCTTAAATTTTTACAGGCAACTCACAATTAGGTATACAAACTCAAAAACAATGATACTCTACAAATTATCCAAAATCCAGTTTCACTTGGCTTTCTCTGATATCTCCACACTTGCAGGTCAGATTTCCTTTCCTATTTATGGTTTCTTTTAGATGATGGTGGCTTGCACTTTTTCAGCACGCTGGGTAGTATAAAGGGAAGCCTCCATAAAACTTCCAATCTACTTGTAATCACTGTGCTGCTCTGTGTTTATGACTCTGTGCCTGAACTAGGGAAGAGCCCTGGACTAGACACCAGAAGTTTCAGATTTATTCCCAGTACTACCTGAAGCTTGTTGTATGGCTTTTGTGCAACTTCTTTCCCCTCTCTGCCTCCATCTCCCTTCTGTCACATGAGGACTTAGACCTATCTGATAATTCAGTGAAACCTCTGAACTCTCACCTCAGAAAAATATAATTTTAATAGACCCCCTAGGCCCTCAAAAACTCAGGACTCCCTTAAACAGAAATTTGTCCAAGGGCTCTTCTTACTCTTACATTGTAAAAGTGAACAGATAGATATTGGTGGAGCGGGTCAATAAACTGAATTAGCCAGAGACAGAACAAATTCAATTCTGGAACTTCTACCATACTACACACTCTAAGAGGAATGAAAATTGCTTTCTATTCTTTAGAAATCTTTTGAGGCTGGGTCAGTTAAGTCATACATCTTAACTATATGATTGAAAATTCTGAATGAATGCAGGTCATAAACAAAGTGGCCGCTGGCCCTATAAGATAGAATAAAACCCAAAGAAATCCCCACTTTAAAAGTATGGGCTTGCCCTGGCTGGGTAGCTCAGTTGGCTAGAGCACTGTCCAGATATACCAAGGTTGCAGGTTTGATTCCTGGTCAAGGCACATACAAGAATCAACCAATGAATGCATAAATAAGTGAAACAACAAATCAGTCAGTCTCTCTCTCTCTCTCTTTCTCTCTCTCTCTTCATTCTTCTCTCACTAAAATAAATCAATAAAAATAAATAAATAAAAGTTTTGGCTCATAGCACCACCTATGAATGATTCATGACAAAAAAACTCTGACTTCTATCAAGTTTCTAGATCCAATTATCAATTTATAGAATGGAGGACAGGAAAACATGTTAAACTGCAATCCTGGAATACACGCTGTACAAAACTATAGGACCAACAACCCAGTTCTTAAGCAAATAAATAGGAAGGAAAAGGAGAGACTGAATGACTCATGTGAAACTTGTGCATGTGTACACACACACACACACACACTTGTGATATTTATGAAACAACTGGAAATTTGAACAGACTGAATATTTGATTATATTAAAGAATTACTATTGAGTTGCTGTTCCTCCTAGAAGCTTTTTTTTTAACCTCTCTTCCTATTTCCCCACCTCATCCTGCCCCCACCCACCATAGTCAGAATTAAAATCCTTTACATGCTGTATTGTGTGGTGGGCAAGGGTGAGTAACATTTGGACACTGGATTTAAACTTATGATCTACCACCTATGAGCTGTGTGACCCTGGGTAAATTTCTCAACCTCTCTGAGCTGTAGTTTCTTCACTGTGAAAAGGAAGGGAGCAATAGTACCTATCTTGTAGAATGGTTGTGATAAGTAAATGAATTAAAACATGGAAAAAAAAGAATTACTATTAATTGTTGTGGCTAGGTTTAACAAAATGGGGAGAATAGATGTAAATCTTTGTGACTTTTGATTTGACAATTGTTTCTTAGAAATGACATGAAAAGCATAAGCAACAAAGGAAAAACTAGATACTGGTAAGCTGGATTTCATCAATATTAAAAACTTTTTGTACTTCAAAGGACACTATCAAGAGTGTGAAAAGAGAACCCACAGAATGGAAGAAAATATTTGCAAATTATATATCTGATAAGAGACTTGTGTCAAGATTAGAATATATAAAGAGTTATTACAATTCATTTATAAATAGCAAAATGACCAAATTTAAAAATTGGCAAAAGAGCTGAATAACATTTCTCCAAAGAAATTGTCAATTAAGAACATGAAAATATGCTCAATATTAACCATCAGGAAAATGAAAATCAAATGCAGGAAATGCAAATGCAGGATATTACTATAGCATTACTTGTAATGATATATAACTCTACACCCTCTAGAATGGCTATATAAAAAAGCTAGATAACAAATGTTGAGGAAGATGTGAAAACATTAGAACCTTCATAACACTGCTGGTGGGAATGTAAAATGGTGAAGCCACTTTGGAAAACAGTCTGGCAGTCCCTTAAAAAGTGAAACATAGAGTTAATATTTGAGCCAACAACTCCACTCCTAGGAGAAAAGGAAAGCATGTCCACATAAAAACTTGTACATGAACATTCATAAGAGCATTATTCAATTCACAATGGTCAAATGATGGAAACAACACAAATGCCAATCAAATGGTGAATGAATAAACAAATGTGGCATATCAAAAGAATGGAACTTAGAAAATATTATAAGTGAAAGAAGACAGATACAAAAGGCTTTTATCTGATTCCATTTATAAGAAATGTCTATATGGTTAGGGTAAATGCTATTTAATATAGCTTTTGTTTCAGATTTACATAAATATTAATGTGCTAGGTTATGATGTAAAAGGTATTTCTTAAAGCAGATAATGATCAAAATAATTTGAAAGCCACTCTTCTAGATTATGTTGAGACAGATACTGGTGATCAAGACGGTACTATAATGTAAGCAACTAGAATCTTTTTTTTAAATATATTTTATTGATTTTTTACAGAGAGGAAGGGAGAGGGATAGAGAGTTAGAAACATCGATGAGAGAGAAACATCGACCAGCTGCCTCCTGCACACCTCCTACTGGGGATGTGCCCGCAACCAAGGTACATCCCTTGACCAGAATCCAACCTGGGACCTTTCAGTCTGCAGGCCGACGCTCTATCCACTAAGCCAAACCGGTCTGGCAACAACTAGAATCTTTATCCTTGACTTTAAAAGTACAATCTTATCCTGTCTCCACTGACCTTTCAAACCACTACAGCCTGGCTTTCACCCCCTCATACCATAGGAAACTAAAACTTCTTCTGAATATAAACAAATTACCAACATGTTGCTAACTCTCATGGCCAATCTTTATCTTCCCTGACTTCTCTCCCACTTGACTCCCTATGCCTTCCTCCTCCCTGAAATGTTCCTTCTGCCTTGGGAACATCAACCACATGTCCTGTCTGGATATATTGTCTTTACTTACTGCCTAGGTTCTTCTTCATCCAGTCATTAAGGCCATGATTTCTCAGGGTTCTTCTAATTTCAGTCCCCCTTCTCACTCCACACATGCACTGAATGATGGGCCCATGCATCCCCAAGACTTGAACTACCATCCACATTACACATGATGCTCCTCCTTTCAACAAAATTACTAGACACCAGTAGGGAACAAAATAGACATAGGCCCTTACCTGCATGGAGCTTACAACTCTGCTGATTGCCCTCAAGTAGCTCTCTTCTCTTGAACTCCAGATATTAATCTCCAACTGCCTTTTAGATATCTCCTGAATATTTCAGGTGAACTTTACACTTAGTAAGTCCAAAATTAAATTAATCTTCTCCCACCCCTACCAGCTTCCTCCTTCCCATGAGTTCTCTGTCTCTTAGGACACAGAAATATCCCAAACTAAGGCGCTATCTATACCTCTTGCCTCTCCCTCACCTTTATGCTAGCCATCCAGTCTCAAGTCCTGATGATTATCTTCCTCTTTAATATCATTCTCATGTGTCCTTTCTCTCTCTCCCTACTGCCCATACTCAATTCCTCATCATTTCTGATCTATTACCATTCATTATGTGGTCTCTTGTGCTGCTCTCTGTCCCCAATTCAGCCTCTACTCTCCTGCCCAACTCATCTTTTTCAAACATAATTCTGCTCTTATCAATCCTATGGTCACTACTATAGATTGGTTGCTCAAGATCCATGCCACCCTCCTTCTAGCATACCTCCTTATATTGCTGAAAGCTAAAAAACAAACAAGCAAACAAGCACTAAAACAAAAACTTGTCATTTCTCAGACTCTTTTGCATCCAGTGTTCTGGACATGATTCATTTCTACCAATCAATACGCACATGCACAATACTTAGAAGGAGGTGATGCAGAGGCCATATTTCTGCTGCTTCTGTTGGCATGAACAATGGTGGAAGTTTTAGGTTTTCTCCACCATGTTACCTTTTGATAGACTCCAGTGTCTGGTCACTGGCTTTGTGCCTTTGGATCAGCAGAAAATTGAATATATATACCTTTGTCATTGAAGATCTGGAAGGCATGATGATAGTTAAGACAGTGGCAGATTCCATAGTTAAGGCAGTGCCAAGGATTCCAAGATGGCTGCAGAGAAGGTGGAAGCTACATTCACCTAC